GCAAGCTTTCAGGATTAACATCCCTTTGTCAGGCTCTGGGAAAAGTATAGATGGTACAAGATGGTAAAAAGTCCCCACAGGTAGGAAATAAACTTCATGTTTGCACAGAGGGAGCAGGAGATGGAAGGCTCACCCTCTGGGTCCATGAGAGTGACCGCCTAGTAGCATCTATACTTTTCCCAGAGCCTGACAAAGGGACTTTGATCCCGAAAGCTTGCAGAAAAGGACAGTTTTCTTGCGATTTTCCAGTTGGTCTAATAAAAAGTATCATTTTGGAACCAAGAGTTCTAGTTTTGTGTATGTCTTTTTGTCTCAGACCAACACAGCTACCAAGTACCTACCTAAATCTATACTCGTTTTACCTGACAATGTAAACAAACACAAATTACAGTTTACCCAAAACAATTTAGATTGATTTACATTTAATAGCACAGCAGGCATTTACTGACCAAACACTTCCTCCAACCATTTTGAAAATTCTGTGGCTAAAGCTCCCGTGCAAGCAGATGATAAGCCTGTCCTCTAATTTTATTGATGTTTTCTAAAATGGAAGCAAAACATTTTAAATATTTCTGCATATTTGTGCAGACCCAACAAAACTGTCCAAGCAATACAAAAACATTAACAGCACATCCTACAATACACTTGTGAATAATATTATTTCCCAGATTATGCATGAAGAACTGAGGGGAGTGTGTTTTAAGTGGTTCATGTAGGAAGGCTGCAGCAGAGCTGGAAACGGAAACTTCAGCTCTTGAATCACTAGCCAATACTTAAAGGACCAAAGTATTCTACTTTCATGGGACTGGCTACCCTCCTAACATATGCAAATTGTTTGTTTCAAAACGAGTCGCCTGGAATTTGCGCTACCACACAAATTTTCCCAAAGCTCACTATCAACAAGTCTACAAAAAGTCTCTTAAATGGCTCTTCAGCAATACAAAGGGTCAGCTTGAGCTTGCAATACTACTGCAGAGCTGCTAGAATCTTATCACAAGTGTTTATTAAAAAATTAAAAATTAGCACACACCCTGAATGAGGCAACATGACAGAAGTCAATTAATGGTAAATGACAACTCATCTATTTTTTTAAATTATGATCTTAAGAAAAAACAAACACAAAAGTGTTTAATGTTAAAAATTCAAGGAAAATTCTTAATTGATCTTACACAAATGGGAGCGCAAGACAAAATATATGTAGCAATATTTCACGGTTTCTCTTCTTTCCCTTCCAAGATACTGTTCTTATAACAAAACAACAATTCCCTGTTAATGATTTTCTTACTTGTCAGCAGCAAATAAAAATCAATAGATATGCTGCACAACCCTCTTTTGTGAATACAACTAATGCAAATGAGATATTTTCAATTAGGAATGCTACAAAACAAAAAAGTTGCCTGACACTGCATTTTACATGTTCATTTTTTCTCTGTTCCAGTAGTGAGTTCAATTTTTAAATTATTTCCCTTTTTGAAAGGTTCCCCACAAAAATTCTAGAAAAGAATATACCATCTCTCTCAGTTCCTGCAACAGAACTTTAGTTAATTGATCTGCAACTGCACCAGCCTAACAGAATATAGCTCATCATGACCAAATTATCAGTACATTCATAAACTTATCATGTGACAGAATTAAAACAGAGAAAACAGTCTAAAGATCATGAGAGAATCAGAAGCAACATTTTGCAGCATGGTCATTTTAAAATAAAAGTTCTTAGCATCTCTTAGATTATAATTCTAAGGTCTGAATTTTGGCTTACATCTAGTGAAAAGTTCACAGTTTTGCTTCTTCCAAGGTTTTAAGTGAAATAGCTCACAATGCCTTCCCCTGATCCAACATAGTTCTTTTAGGCTTTCAAGAAATAGCCGGTTGTTTCGCTTACAGAACTTCTTTACACTGACCTAATCAAATAATACAAAATAGAGACACCACTAGGTAGAATACACCACAGTACATTAATGACCCTGATAAACTTTCTTTTATGTTGAAAATACTGTTGTCACATTTATTCCATTCAATTATGTTCAAGCTACAAATACGAGAAGAGCTGTGTGAATAATTGATGTTTTGCTTCAGCCACCAAACTGATTTTTTTACAATTATTTCACATCAAGTGAATAATTGTAATTGTAATTATATTTCATTCAACCCCAAACAAAATATTTTGTTTCTTTTTTCCACCTTTTTTTAAATGCAAGTGAAGGAAATGGGGAAATTAAAGGTTACATTTGCAAAGGAGTGTCTATAGAAACATCACTATAAATTAAGTTAGGTTAGAGAAGGGGTGTCAAACATGCAGCCAGTGGATCCAACCCATTGTCAGGGAGCCGGGACCCAGGGTGAGTTTAACACCCCTGGTTTAGAGTAGGTAACAAACTGTAGTTTACCAAACTATGGGGGTGCTGCTCTTAGTACACAGAAAGAATGGAGTAAGCTACCACAGACGAAGTCAAGGTTCCTCCACACTAAAAGCATTATATGCAGGCAATCAGTGCCAAATAGTCAACTTACTGTAAGTTCCCACCCTAACTTACTTCGGAGTCACTTCCTAATGTACGTACGTAAGCCTTTGGGCACTATTCACAAGACAGACGAGTAGGTAATGGTACTATTATCATCTTTTACCCTATAGCCCAGGGATCAAGCACACAGGACACGGGTTCTAACTGATGATATGAGAAAATCCCTGCCCAGTGTGAAGCATGGACTTGAACTTAGTTTCCACTCTATCAGGAAAATGTTCCAAGCCCTGGAGAAACTGATATTGTGGTTTTGGTGTTTCTCACAGTGAAGCTGTTCCACTTGATAGAAAATATCAAAGATAAATTCTAGATAAAATGTCACCTAGCTTAACCAACCTCATTCTAGATAAATGTCACCTAGCTTAACCAACTGTCATCACCTAACTCATGGGTGGCCAACCAGCACCATGAGTGCCACAAGTACCATGTGGCAGAATGGGGAAGAGGATAGGCAGCACAAAGTAGAGCAGTACAGGCAGCCCTAGACTTATAACGTTTCACACTTAAAACATTTATAAATTGACACCGTTTCAACTTTATGACATCGGTTTTGACTTTACAACGCTTGATCCGATGCAACGCCATGCAAGTGAACAAGTTCGCTGCATCTCTCATCTCCCTGGAGAACATCTGCCCAAACTTCCTGGGACACTTTCTTTAAGAAAGCAGCCAAGACTCCAGAAAAACCTGCATCCAAGACTCCAGCCAAGAATCCTTCAAGGAGTCCAACCAAGAGGCCTTCAAAAAGTCACCTCAAAGAAGTCCTTCCAAATCAATATGATTGCTATTTACAGTAGATATAATGTAGCTATATTACTCATCTATAATTGATCGAGTACAAAATTCTGGGGTATTTTTAGTGAAAATAGGGTATCGGGCCTTGGTTCAGGAACCCCATTTATAACATTGTTTCTTATGAGAAAATTGGTTCCGAGTTAACAACGTTTCAACTTAAGACGCCGTTTTCAGGACCCAATTGTGTCATAAGTCTGAGGATTGCCTGTACATCAGACAGGGAGAGCACAGGGAAGGAACAGAAAGCAGACCTTTAGATTAATCAAGGGAAGTGGTACTTGGGGGAGGGTAAAGACCTAATTTCTGTTATTCCTGCCAAAAAGGTTGCCCCAATGACGTTAGAGTTATTTTCTCTCATGTAACAAACATTTAACTGTTAAGGATTTACAAAGGAGCGGGGGCAGAGAAATGCACCCAAAATACTGAACAGGCCACTGGCTAGGACATTCTCCTGAGACCCAAGTACAGGTTCTTGTTCTGACTGAGCAGAAAAACAACTTGAATCTTGGTTTTCCACATGCCAGGTACCACTGGATTGCAAGATGTAAACAACTTTCTTTTCCTCTATTTTTTTAAATGAGGCCTAGATCCCATTCTGAATCTAGCTCAATTACCCAAAGTTTCAGAGTTTCCTAAATGAACCATTTTCAAATTTCTGATTCAAAATTTCATATTTCTGCAGCAGTTGGGGCTGCCACATGCACAATCCACCTGATAAAACCCAGGAAAACAAGAAAATGAGAGCAGAAGTCATTTAATGCTACCACAGTAGCATCCACCACAGACATTACCCCACCCACAGCACACCACAAACCATATATAATTTGATTCTCTAGATTTTTCAATGCTTAACTGGTGGTGGGAATTGGATAATGAGAGGGTGGGGGAATAAAGGGGGTGGGTCTGCAGAAAAGTAAATTAGAAACTGCTACAGACTGAGACCATTATAAATAAATAAATAAGCAAGCAAGCAACAGCTGGACATGAATGCTCCTTTGTTGCAGGGTAACTGTGTCTTGGGTGAGCAGAGCACTAGCCCTATGCACCAACTTGAAGGGGGCACCAGAATCACCCCCTCTCCCTCTTGGAGTCTGTGCAACAGCAGGCCAGAGGAGCTGGGCAGGTACAGCCCCTTACCCAGTAGTATATCTGGGAGCCAGGGGGCAAGTGGCAACTCCCAGGAACCTTGCACACCAAGGCTGCTGCACCCATTATGAATCAAGCATATGTCCCAGCAGCCGCAGCCTAAACCTACGCTGCTACAGCACCAACTGCAGCAATACCAGCTGTCACCCAAGAGTGAACAGCAGAGGTGGGTACAGCTCTGCTCTTCCTTCCCCTCTCTGTTTCAAGTGTTCAGCATAATTCCCCCCATCCCGTCCCAGGTTCTGAAAGACCTTGCTACAGCTCTGCTTTGCTGCAAGATACATTTTGATGGAATACTGGAGCTTCTGATGGAGAAGAATTGATACAAGTCCAGTCCCAGTTAACCATTCAGTTTTAAGCAATGGCAGGTAATCATTTAATACAATATAAATAAAAGATAAAATTATCCAAATCCTAACATATCCTAAAAATAAGCTTCCTGCTGCATAAGTATACTCAGGATCCATTTCTCTGCTGATGTATGCATAGATATTTTTATTTAAGGGATGTTAGTCAACAACAAAAAACAGAACTAACCTGGAAAAATTCAGTCAGACCCCGAATTCAAAGACCTTTAAAAAAAAAAAAAAAGTATTACAAAGAGGAAAACAAATAAAAACTGTACAAATAATTCAAAGGGCAAACTGAATTTCTATTTTTAGGAGCGAGGGGGAGGGGAGTATTTATACAGTGTTTCAAACCCTTTTCAAAAAGTAGCCCCAACTGTGGAGCTGTTCTGTGCTTCCACAACAAAGCCCCTGTCCCAAAGAGGGTAAAGTCTACATAGACAAAGAAAAGTGAGAAAGCGAAAGACAGAGAATGTGTGCATGCATGCACATAAGCAAGCTGAAACATGGAAAGATTAAAGGACTCACCAAAAGTCACAAGAAAAGTCAGAAGACAAAACAGAGAACTGAACCCATATTTCCTGAATTCCACTTCAATGCTTCAGCCCAGTGCTACAGGACCATCACTCCTATCTGGATAAATGGTTCAGTATTAAAAAGGTACTTCTACTGTGTTCCTGGTCCTTTCAGTGCTACATTTTAACCTATTCTTGTTAGCAGGATGCTGATGTGATTTTCCATACTCCTAGTGTTGCAAGAATGAACTGATTTGCAAAATCTTGCTGCAGGAGCTAATGGCCTTTCTACTCCTAATTTTACATATATTCCTAAACTGCTCATCACTAAGACTTCCACATACTAAAGTTAGCTGTAGTATCTTGCTGCATTGGGACCATTCAAGGAACAAAGTACAAAATAAAGCTACTGAGCAGTTTAGACAGCCATCTGGCTGGGATGGTTTGGTTAGGGATGATCCTGCCTTGAGCAGGGGGCTGGATTAATTAGATGATCTCCTGAGGTCCCTTCCAGCACTGCTTCCCTATGATCCTAACATTGCATAACACTACAGATTTGCATGCATAAGATTACTGGGAGTCTCCATCTTTGTTTAGAATGGAAAGGTTAAAGCATGGTCTTGTAAAATGGTTTTAACAGTTTGAATAGTTCATGATGGCAAAAAAGGTACTAGAAAGAATAAAAATAGAACGATTACAAACAGAAAAGAAAGTTAAAACTTTTCACTAATGTACCTCTTATACTTAATTAGTCATTTAAATCATTTGAAAGGAAAGAAATAAGTCAATTATTTCACAAGTGAGGACTCCCTTTGCAGATTTTCAAAGGAACCATTACATTTAAGGGTCCCTTTACAGAAATATCTTGATTTTTATGAAGCATGAGCAAGAATCTAAATGTACATAACATTTACCTCCCCTTGGTTTTTCTAGGTATGATTCATGGAACGCCATTCTTGTTTGATAAACAGTTTCAGGGAGGAAAAAAAAAGGCCTAGCTCAAAACTTGTAAAGGAGAACTTCTAAATGTGTACGATACAATATAGCATTTGAATAATACTTCTAAAGAAACATCATTAAACTGGAAAATACACTTGTCTACAGTAATCAATTGCCTCAAAATTCCAAAGAGGAATAATTTTTTTTTATTATACATACATATACAGAGATCTAGAAAAAAGTATTTTTATTATTGAGGGTTCTTTTTAATACACAAGGTATTAGTGAAAATAGTTCATTTTGAAACTAAATATAGAATAAATGCAATGTTTATTTTTTTAAAAAGCCTGTGCACCTTTGTCACAAATTCACATAATAAAAAAAAGAATTAATTAGGTGGCAACTGCACTTGACCATACATTATATGAATCAACAGTAAATTCACTTGCTATTCTAGCCCCCTGAAGTTTCCTAACAGGATTCTTGCTTTTTTAATGCTTAGCCATTATGTCATCACTATAAAATAAAAATGCAGAGATATCACTGAAAACAAAATGTCCATGGATCTTCAATTTACTATATATAAAACTGCCAGATAAACGGACTAGTAAAATTATATTTTCAGAAAGCCAAGGCAAAATCTATTGGCCTTTATCCAAGAGATCAGAGTCATAGTCAAGACCTGTATTTAATTAACACTATTTACTGTCAAGATCTAAGTCAGATAAATACTTCGCTAGTCTCAGTTTGGGGCTAAGGACAGGACCTGGGGAAATTTTGCCTGAATAAATGTATCTCATCTTCCTTGATGGTGCAAGTACCCAGTTGTCCCATTCTTGACCTCTTTTAGCATACTGGAATCCAACATTGATGGCAGTGCATTAATCTATATTTAATATAGGTATTTCTACAGATGTTGATGATGACTTTCATCTGTAAATGAAGATATACTCTGCCTCTTTATGCTCATGGCCGGAGACAGACTTGTGTCCAAAACCATAATTAAAAAAAAAAAAAAAAAAAAAAAATTATGCTTCCCTTTCATTTTTTTTTTTTTTTCTAGTTACGGAGGTTTTTTTTAAAAAAAATACTTGAAAAAAAAAAAAAAAAAAAAAAAATTATGCTTCCCTTTCATTTTATTTCTATTTTTGCTAGTTACGTAGTTTTATTTAAACAATGAGCTTTCCCATTTAATAATCTACCTAATTTCACAAGGAAGTCAAAAAGTTAAATAAATTTAATTTCCACATCCCAGAAAAGAGAAAGGTTGCTGTCAAAGTTCCCTCCCAAACGTTAGCAACTGATATGTGGGATACACCCATGTAATCAAAACAGACAATCACTGCTCAATGTTTTAAGTGGAAGTGAAAGTCCCCATGATCACTGCCACCAGAGAAGATTTCTTTCTGACCCCATAACAGACAACTATATTAACCTTATTTGTGTGAAAATCACCACTATTGTGTTTAATTTCATTTAAATCTTGATGTACTACTGCTGGTCAAGCAATTGTTTATTCTTCCCTTAATATTGGCAAACCAGCTTCTATACCACCATAACAGAAAATTCTTAAAATTTCCAGAGCAAAATTGAACTCTTATATTCAATTTCCAAAAATTCTAATATTATAAAAGTCTGTCTGTCCATAACGCTTTATTCGCACTCTGAATGGCTAACAGAAACAGCCAATCAGAGTGCTCCAGGCGTGGGGGAGCACCACCATGATTCCGAAGCTGCACCAAGAACCAGACAGAGGGTGGGGGACCCAAGGCCTAGCTCCCCCACCCTGCTCCCAGCAAGCCACGCTGAGAACTGGATAGGGGGTCCCCCACCCCGCTCCCTACAAGACTCAGAACAGCAGCTGCATGGGGCATTAGGTGGTGGCACTCCATCACAGCCTCCCCCCATCATTCTTGACAGGCAATTGGCTAGTGTTTCTATATTCTCTTATTTACCTAGCCTGAATAAAACTTGCCTAATTTTATTATTCTTCAGAATCTATAGTTAGGTCCAAATGCAAGGTGTTCAAAATTGGTGACAGTATTCTAAATAGCAACACATAATGAATCTTTCTTCTTTTATTAACAGTCAATACCTATACCTATCTGAATAGACAGATACAAATAAGTAAATAAAGCAGAAAGAGTCATAAATATATTTAAATTCCCATTAAAGTATGCCTAACTTGTGGTTTTAGTATTTTATCTATTGCTATTGTACAGACAAATGTCTGGACTCTGTCATTAATGAACAGGTCCTGGTTCCAGACCGAAACCAGGAGGGAGTACTGGCAAACTTCAATCATTTAAACAAAGGCTGTCAAACAGCAGTGTGGCAGGGGAGGGCATGTACAGGCGTGTCAGGAGGCCACATGCCACCAGCATGGCCCACACGGCAGGGAAGCAACACAATGCCTGCACAGAAAGGGCCTGCCCCCACCACATATGGCCTATGTGGTGTGTAGCCCACAATTTATATACCCACATTCTAAAGGCACTTAAGGACTGTAAGAATAAAGTTCCTATTGATACTACAGTCTTCAGTGAAGTTTCATTCTGACATTTTACTTTTCAGTAACTAACCTGCCAAGATGAAAAAAGAGACTATAGATTACTATTAAGTGATATTTTCAAAACAAAACATACTAGAGTACCATATAAATGTGGGGGCAATATTAGAACTTACTCGCTGTATATTCATCTGAAGTCATAGGAAAGGCAGTGAGTTGATTGCACTTAGTATCCATTAAACTAATATGAATTCCAGCTGATTTATCATTCTTCAGTAATCAAAGTGCAGTCACTAGAACAGTTTTGGAGAGTAGCTGGCCTACAGATTTCCTAATTCAAACCTTTTCTTTAAAAGGCGTAGTATTAACTACCCTCCAGTCCTCCAATATATGTCCGAGACTGAGCAGCACAATGACAATGAGTGAATTTTGGCACCACTGAAGCAAATGACAGAATTTCCATTGCTTTTACTGAGTACCCTTTTTACTCAGTAGCCTTCCACTTCAGCATGCACCTGCACTGATAGATATCTTCCCCACAGATACCTATAGATAGGTAGATATATCCCTTGTCTAGCACACAATTCTTGTCCTTCAGATCCATCCCCACAAGCCCATTTCTTCTTACGGTGATCTCCTCCTCACTGTTGTCTCCATAAACTCATAGCTTGTACTGCTGCTTCTTATTTGCTTTTGGTCCAAGTTATGAGATCCTCAAACAGTGACTTTGTTTTGGCCAGAACTTATAAAAGGTACTGATTTGTTTCTGGTACTATAACAACTAAATCAGCTTATAACCTCAGTGCAGAACAAAGCAGACCAAAAGAAGCAGCACCAAATAAAAGAATGGTTTTATTAAAGAGAGAGACAGGAAGAGACAGAGACAGAGAGAGAATAAAGAATTAGAGGAAAACAGTTATATACAGAGTAAACTATTTTTCTTCAAATGGCCTTCATTTTCAATCTTGACCTACATTAGTCCCCATTTAACTGAGTGGCTACAGAACCAAGATTCCATTTATATGACTGCATACATGCTGTCAAACCTGAAAAAAATCACAAATTTACACTCTCTTCAGAATCCAGAGTATTTCAGTAGCATAAATTTTATCTTTATTTATTATCAGGTATATACATTGTGCTAATATAAAATAAACTTTAACAAGCTGCAAAATACCATACATACTTTACTATTTTCCCTTATTTTTTTTTCTTTTAAATGTAGGGCACTGCTAAAGCATTCAAAACAGATACATTACAGAATCTACTCTTTCCCATCAACCTACATATTATAATCATTATGCACTCCAAATAACGAGCTTCCCAGAATCACACAATTCAAGTTTTCCTCGTTGTATGTCATATAGTATTTTCAAATTGACAAAACTAGGTCAATAACACCTTTACACCTTTACTTAATGAGATTAACCTAAGATTTTTTAAATAATACTGAACAAAGCAAAAAGCAAAGTTAGCATAATGCCACTTGATCTGGGCATCTTTTGTTTTCATTTATTAGTGCTGCAAAAAAAAGTCAGTATAAAGAAAAATATTTTTGGCTTTCCAAAAACTGGTTAACTTGACTGCAAAAGAAGAAGCAATACTCAGTGCAGATATACATATTTTGCCTGTGAGCTTTCAACATTTTTAAAACTGCAACATACAGTAAGACTTGCATAAATCCTCCAATCCAGTCTATCCACCTGTCTGTATGTTTACACCTGCAATTCTCAAAAAACACACTAATGTCCTTCTACGATATGTTAAAAGGAGGTACATTTTCATGCAAATCTCACATAAAAAGCAAATCTCTAGGATTTATATCTAAAACTATTAATGGCTGTATAGTCTTTTTTAATATTAAAGCAATCTAAAACGAAACAAAACATTTATGGTCTACTATGCTTTGTTAAACTACCAAAGTATTATCAATTTAAAATAATCTATAGGGGGCCTCTTTTTATTTATTCTCAGCAGCAACACCTCTTCTTGACAAAAGAATAAACAGGCATATTGCTGTCTGATGGAGTAGTGAGACCATCATTCCTGAGTAGTAAGTACTTTAAGTCATCAGTGTTATTTTATCTGGTTCAGCCATAACTTAAAGTAGTTTATTAGTCAGGACAGACAGAAAAAAACTTGTATCATTTCAACTCAGGCTTTGCTACAAGACAGACCATAATTAGCCCATCTGAAAAAAATGTCAGCTCATTAGCTAGTGCAGTGGTGGCCAAGCTGCAGCATGTGCGCCACAAGCAGCCTCTGTGTGGCGCACAGAAGATCAGGGTGGGACAAGCAGCACAGTGGCAGATGGAGCAGGGAGCAGAAAGCAGAGCAGCAGATTGGGCAAGGGGAGGGGAGGGCATGGAGCTATTATGGTACAACTATCAAAAAGATTAGGCCCCACTGAGCTAATGGGTAAGGTGTTCAGTTGCTATAATGTTTAAGTATATTACATCTTCAGCAGTTTCAGTATATACCTTTCTTTCTTCCTTCAACACAGGACCTCATCCTGAAATCTATGCTCAACTGAGTAGTCTATAATCATCCATGTAGATCAGGCCAGTATTTTAAGAGAAGTTCCTGAAAGTCCTTTTATACTTTTACTGTGTTGATATGAACTTGTTTGTTACCTAAAATAAGGATCTGTCTATACCTTACACAGCTAAGTTCAAAACACCTCATGACAGTATCAAATTCCCTACTGAAGAAGAAAAAACTAACAGCACCATTAACATAACACGTGTAATTTAAATATAACTTACCAAGACTCAATGAGGCAGTTAAAACAGTTCTACAGGTTGTGTGTGTATGAGCTTCAGTACTCAGATACATCTCAGGTGTACTATGAACAAAATGAGAGAAAGAAAAAACTTAAAGTCTTTTTGACTACACAAATTGAAAAAGGGAAAAAGCATAAATATACTGCTCTATTAAACAATACAATGATCACACACCTGAGAGTGAACATAAATATTGCAGTGCAACACCTGCCTTATTGAGATTATTTATAAATCACTTCTTGCATCCCCTGTTCCCTTATCTGCTGGCTGTGTGTAAACAATTGTTAATGATAATTAGTTTGAACTCTATGTACCATTTACTTCCATAGAAAAAATCCAGAGTGACCCAAAATGCTCAGTTAGCTGCTCCTCATATCAGAACTCTGATCCTTTCTTATAAATCAGGCTTGAAGCAGAGTTTAACAAATTGATGTGGATTAGATGCTTGGCTGGCTTAATATATAATAAAACCACAAATTGCTATTCTTATAAAATCTCTTTGTCCAACTTCATTTTTAGGAAAAGTCATCAGCACAGGAAATACAGGTGTTCTTTTCCACAGTCAGAAAACTCCACTGAAAAAAACATGCACTTCTGCCTTGAGTCAAGGAACCATTAACATGCCAACATAAGAAAACCTCACAATTAGAATAGACTTTAGATCCAGGGGAACAAGTAACAAGAATAATACACATTCTTTATGAAAAGGAGCTCCAAGTGCAATATTATTACCCTACTATCCATGTAAACTTTAAAAACAGATTTTGTTCAAGGCAGCATTTTGACACCACGTTTCTACACAAACTACCCAAGAACAGTTTAGAACAGTAACATCCCTTCTTCTCGTAAAAGACAAGAAAAGCAGAAAGAACTAACAAGAACAATTACATTCTCAATGGCAATTCTACTGGCTTTTATAAAACTTTTTTCAAATGTTGTTTAAAACTACTTACAGTCATGGGTAGGCTATCAGTACAGCAACTAGCTACCCTAAGCAGCCATCGCTGAAAACATTTTTAAGTAATATATCATTCAGGCTGTCCAGAAAATATAGGTAGTATATGAACACACACTCATCAACTCACCCTGCCAGTGTTTCACAAGCCCAACAACAGGTGCAAACAATACCTAAATGAAAGGCAAATTTGGTATCTATACTCAATCAGTTCTTGACTCGTCTACTGCCAACAAAAGTGTGATCCAAATGATTCTTGGGATAGTGCAAGAAAGCTGAATAGAAACCACCGATTAAAGAGTTCTTAAATATTGTTAAGACTGATGTGTCCAAGACTAGAAATCAGGATACGGGCCTTATAGTACTAGACACTGTACAAATAGCCTTTGTCCTAAAAAGCATACAGTTAAGGATGGAGTTTCTTTACTGGAGTACATTATTGGTCCTGCTTGTATTACAAAACCCAGAGGTTCCAGACTAGAGCAGTGTTTCTCAACCCATAGGTCACAATCCATAAGTGGGTTGCAAGAACATATGGAAGGGTCACAAATAAACTTTAAAAATAGATCAATAAACTTCCAAAAAGGATTTCCTTTAGAGGAGAAAAACATGGCAAACCATGTGTTTTCCCTTGCAGGCTAGCAGAGTTCCAGTCTGCAAGGGGGTGCTTAGGGACCCCCATGCCCCACACCCTTGGGGGCTAGGACCTGGGGGTGGGAGACAGCGATTTGGGAGTGAGGGTCACTGGCAGGACCAGGGGGCTGTTTTCAACTTAAACTATTTACTGGGTTACGAGTGGCCATCGATATTTACAAATGCGTCCAGCAGGGTTCAAATTACAGCTGAGCCCCCACATTAGAAATGAGAGCTCCCCAGCCCACCCCATGCCTCAAATAGCAGTGGTTGCAGCTCCTTCCCGCTGCCACCATCCAAAGACCCCCCTCCCCCAAGGGTCAGGATGTAATTCGAACCCTGTGGTTCTGGTGCAAAAAAGGTTGAAAACCGCTGGACTAGGGAGTCTTGCTCTTCCACCCAGAGTCATAGCAATCTCCAAATCCAGGGTCATGAAGGAATTTTTCCCCTAGATCAGATTAACATGCACTGTGGGGGGGTTTCTTTCCTCTGTAGCACAGGAAATACAATTCTTTCCCAAGGATCTTCTGAGCACACATTAAACAACTACTTCCTTACTGCTGCAATGGCAGAACTCTGGCAATGCTCTCATCTCTCCTGCCTTACCTATAGCACGTACGGGGCACTGTTTCAGCAGTTTGCATTTTATTCCTTACAGCTGCAGGTCAGGGTTTAAGGTTGTAAATTGGGGATTCCCGCATTAACAACTGCATGCAAAAGGAGGGGACTACACTTGATGACCCAGAAAGCCCCTTCCAGTCCTATGTTCCTAATTAAGTGTGGTGGTAAACTTAGTCACCAAGTACCAGCACACAATTTGAAGTAGATGTGGAATATACCATATCTTAATGCAGTAGTCACCAACCAGTGGATTTCGATCCACCAGTAGATCTCAGAGCCTCTTGGAGTCAATCTGAGGCTGGGGTGGGGAGCCGAGTGCCCGTGGGCATGAACACGTGCACCCCAGCCCAGCAAGTCAGACTGTGGGGGGGCCAGATCAAGGCCCCTGTGGTGAGGGACAGTGCCAAGGAGGTAGGAGCAAGGGTAAATTGAGTAGGGCCCTGGCCGGGTGGGACTTACCTGCTCGGGAGGCATGCCCCCAAATAATTTTTTCTCCCTCTGCCTCAGTCTGCCCCCGACACAGACTTACCTGCCAAGCAGGGGAGGGGAGAGGCAGCAGTGCACAGTAGATCTTGAGTTGCTTTTAAATGCCAAAGGTGATCTCCTACTTAAAAAGGTTGGCGACCCTTCCTTTAACCCCCAGCCCAGTTATCTAACTCCCAAAGGGAAATCTTTTGATTGCTAAACAAGAGAACAAAAATATTACTGATAAATCCAAGACAGAATTAATGACACCATTTTAGTACTTTGACCCACTTCACTTATTTTTTATTCAAGCTATTATGTAACTATGATAGTATTCCTCCCATATTTCTCTCCAATATCAATGGAATGCTTGCATACCAGGTACATCTGGCAGTGTTAAAGGTGCAATTTTCCCTAAAGTCTACACAACAAGAATCAGCAAATAAGCAATTAACATCAAACTTTTATGTACTACTGAAAGGAACAAAGTGAAAGACTATACTTCTTAGAGCTGCACCCAGAAGCGAACCCCATCTTAAGTGGGCAAGCTTAATGAATTAAATATTTTGCTGACCATGTACATTTAGTCTTCAGACTCCTGCAACTTGAGCATTAAGAGCAATACATTATGACTGTATCTTCCAGAGAGAGGAAAAGATAAAATAGTTAACCGGGTTCTCTCATTGCTGAGCGGACAAAATACTACCAAACAGCAGAATTGAGGTAAATTATTGTATTCTGCCTCCATTAAAAATGTTATTCCTCCTTACATCAGAGCAATCCTCAGCTGAAAAAGAGCAAAATGTGTTTTCCATTGTAAATACCGGAACACATAGGTAAAACAATGGAAAACAGATTTTTTTTAAAGTATAACTATTAAGAGCCATACTATATTAAATAATCAATAGATCACTCAGTCATTTAAAAATAAATAAATACAATTCTACTGTTATGACATTATATCATTAAATATTATGGTTCTGATGTTAAAATTAAAAATACTTTAAAAACTAACAAATTTGAAGTTGAAATGGAATTTCCATACTGGATAAATACCAAAATGTACTAAGTACATCAGATTCACCCAAGAACCTTGTCTGCCTATGTCCTTAGACCAACACAGCTACACCTATACCCCTAAAATAAACATAAATCTATTAACTTGAACTAGTCTCCTAAACTTTGCCTTGTCAAAGAATGTGTGTTGAATATTATAATATGAAAGGAAAAGAATGCACTAGTCTTCCAAATCTTTAGCCAGAGTTTGAATTTGTGTACTAAGCAAAACAGGTCAAATGATTTTTGTGATCTAAACACACGTCTTCTGGCACATCTACATTACAACCAGTTTATGTTGAATTTTTTGTTGGGAGGCCCAAGGTATAACACAAGAAAACTAAAACCTAGGCAGCTCTGCTAATATACAACGTTGTACATCTCCCCACAACTAGCTAGCCAGTGTTTACCATCATGAGTACTAAACACATCTCAATGTAAATGTTGCTTAGTGTTTCTACCCTCACAGTCCAACTTTTACAGTTCATTATTATAACAACTGTATGATAAGGTTGAAGTAAGCTTGTAAGATACTCCACAATCAGAAAAAAACAAGAGTAGCATCAAAATACATTATTAAATTTATCTGCAGACCAGAATTCTCTCCTATACATAAGACACATCTACACAAGATGTTTACTACACAGTTGACTAATTAGCTGTACAGTAAACATCTCACATCTACACATGTGCTCTATTAGCTTGGAGTAAACTAATTTATTCCACTGCTGGACAATACTTGTAAATACTCTGCAGCAGTGAAGATGCTAGAGGGGCTGGCTCAGGTGCAGACAAAATATGACCCATGGGCTGGACTCAGCCAGCCAGGCCATTCTATCTAGCCCACAGGACCTCTAAAAAAATGTAGAAAATCAATTATCATCTTCCTGTGGCTGCCTGTCAAAGATGACAAGGTGCCAGAAGCAGCAGCAGGACCCAGGAGGAGCCAGCAGCAGGACCCAAAGGGAGGAGCAGCAAGGTCCTCCCAGCCTCACCTCACCCCCAGCCAGAAGCTTTTGCCTGGTGACCCTAGGGCTGTTCCCCACCTCCCTCTGCCCAAGAGTGGAGAATCAGATAAGAACAGGTGAAGGTGTGTGGCCAGCAAGGAGCCAGCACCATGCAATTCCCAGCTGGCTTGCTGCTGCTTCTATCACAGAGGCTGCGCACCTGCAGCTCCAGGGAAACCCCCACACTGGAGCCAGCTGCCTTTCCTGCCTCCTGCTGTGCATGTCTGCAGACTCCACTAGGAGTGGAGGGAGCCCTGCCCCCTGCAGAGTCCAGTGTGGGATTTCCCCTGGTATGAGTATGGGAGCTGCAGACACATAGTGCAGA